GTTTTGAGCCTCGTGGTTAGGTCGCTTTCAGGAAGTGAGGGGAGCCGGATGTCAACATCTAAAGTGTTTCCATGACTACTATCAACTTGGGTGGGGGATGCCATGTATACTTTTGGCCAGAGTAAAAGTTTCATATTTCTGTACTGGGATGTAATGTGCATGTCCAGAACCCTGCCATAGCGTCCTGTTGGAGAATGTGATTAATGACCTCAACCAGAGGGGAGGGTACACAGGGGTAAAGTTCAGATGCCATTAAGTGGGATTTAGTTTCAGCTCCACAGAAGTCCGGGCCAAGATGTTATTCCTAATAAATGAATGGGTTTTTTTAACCTTGTCTTGAGGCTTGCAAATTAATTAGTCCAACTCTTGGAAACTTCACACATTGATTGGGGAGGGGGAGGGGGACCAGGGACATCAGGAGTTGTTTGAAGATGAGCGCCTGGCTCCAGAGAAGCCCATCTTCATGGGCCTATTTAGACCAGCATTATTCAAATCACTCCTTTTCAAGGCCAAGTCAATGGCCCATGTGGGAGTGCCAGACAAGCCTGCAGACAGTTCCCTAGTTGTCAGGATCCTAGTGAGCGGCTGTTCATGTAGCTAGCTGTGGAGCAGGACATTATCCCATCCCTGCAGTTGTTCATTGACATTATACAATGTCAATGGAACCAACCAGGTTCAGTTTCAGCTCCCAGTGGCAGTTATAGAAGGCTCCAGAGCTGGAGGAGCTGCTAGAGTGCCCCAAGGTAGACACTCCAGTAGCCTCTCTGGCCTCTTCAGCCGTCCTTCCATCCCAATTATCGGAGGGCCTGAAGGTGGAGGATAAGAAGGCGGAAGCTTCCTTCCACAAGACCCATTTAGCGGCCGCTTGGGCTATCAAGGCAGCAACGGCTGCATCCTTCTTTAATAGGACCTCTCTCCTCTAGCTTCACCAGCTGCAGGCCAGAGTTTGTTTGTTTGTTTGTTTGTTTATTTATTAGACATATACCGNCCAAGTACTGAAAAAACCTCTGGCAGCCAACCTGTATGTCAAGGTATCAAAATGCGAATTCCACCGTGCACGGTTAGACTACTTGGGTTACTGAGTGTCAAATGAGGGAATAGAGATGGACCCAGCCAAAGTGTAAGCCGTCTTAGGCTGGCAACACCCTCACACCTGCAGACAACTACAAAGTTTCCTAGGTTTCGTGAACTTCTACAGGCAATTCATGCCCTCCTTTGTGAAAATTGCCAAACCCCTAACAGTTCTCCTGAAGACAGGGAGCCAAGGAACGAAACCCCATCCGGGACAACCCCTACAGTGCCAAGAGGCTTTCGAAACACTAAAATAAATGTTTGCAAAGGAGCCAGTGCTGAAGCATCCTGACCCCGAGCAACCTTTCGTGATCCAGGCAGACTCAGCAACATGGCAGTGAGAGCAGTACTACTCCAAAGAAACAACCAAGGAAACTTACAACCCTGCACCTACACCTCCCGAAGCTCACAGACACAGAGCGACAATGGGCCACGTGGGAAAAGGAGGCTTTTGCAGTGAGATGGGCACTGCTATCCTGGAGACACCTGTTGGAAGGGGGCCAGAAACCGTTCGAAGTCTGGACCAACCACAAAAATCTAGAGGCGCTTAGGACCCCACTGAAGCTATCACTGAAACAAGTCTGATGGGCTCAATACTTCAACCGTTTTGATTTTGTTTCAAAGCAGATTCCAGGGGGAAGGAACTTTCTAGCTGATGCCCTCTCCCGCATGCCTCAGTACAAATGCGAACGGGAGCACGTAGTGGATGCCATCATTCCCTCTACCCAAACCGCTGCCCAAGTGACCACCAGACGGCAACGCCGTGACTGGTAAGACCAACTTGCAAGCAACCTAACCACGAGGCTCAAAACTGAACTGCTAGCAGACCCTTGGTTCCAAAACAACCAACACATCTTGACAAAGAGAGATGACCTTGCATGGAAGGGGACAAAACTCTACATCCCAAAATCCCTACATACCCTAATTCTCCAGAGGAGTCATGATGCCAAACCAGCAGGCCACTTTGTCTTCCTAAAGACTTTACTCTTAGCCCGGAGGCAATTCTGGTGGCATGGCATGAAGAAAGATATAGATATTTACATGAAAAGTTGTACCATTTGCGCCACAATGAAGAGATGACCAGGAAAAACCCCTGGACTACTGCAAACAGTAGCAGAGCCAACGAGGCCATGGGAGGAGATCGCAATGGACTTTATAGTAGAGTTGCCAAAAAGTGGGGGAAACACGGTGATTTGGACTGTAATAGACCTATTTTCTGAACAGGCACACTTCATACCCTGTANTGAACCTTTTCATCCGCTATCGGAGGTTTAAGATGCATTCACTGCATTCCATCCTGGAAGGGATTAGGCAGGGAGATTTTCTCACCTCCATAGACCTCACAGAGGCCTACCTGCATATACCCATAGCCCCGGAACGCCGTAAACATCTCAGGTTCTGCTATCTAGGGCACCGCTTCCAGTATCAAGCCCTACCTTTCGGGTTGTCATCCGCCCCTCGAGTTTTCACGAAGGTAATGCCAGCATTGGCAGCTCACCTGAGGCAGGTTCCTGTTCGAATTCAATGTTATTTAGATGACCTGCTGTTGCAGTTGTCCTCCTTCAAGGGTGCGCTACAGGATCTAAACACTACTATTGCAGTCCTGAGAGACTACGGATTTTTGGTAAACCTGGCCAAAAGCCACCTTCACCCCTCCACTAGTCTGGTCCACCTAGGAGCCCTGATAGATACAGAGGCAGGCACGGTTTCTCTGTCATCAGAAAGACAACTCTCTCTTAGGCAGCTAGCTGCTCAGGTAGCCAGGGGGTGTAGGGTATCCTTAGCCACACTGTCCAAGCTGCTTGGCGCCACGGTGTCTGCCATTGGCATTGTCCCTTGGGCTCGGTTCCACACCAGAGACCTCCAATGGTTCCTTTTGCCTTTCCAGCAAAGGCACATGAACTGCTTCCAGACCAAGGTTCTTCTGCCCACAGAAGTATCCCGCTCACTGATTTGGTGGACATCCCCGGCAATCTCCAAGGGTGAGATCTTCAGAACGCCAGATGGGTGACAGTAACAATGGACACAAGCCTGTTCGGATGGCACGCCCATCTGCGGGCTCAGATGGCGCAAGGACAATGGAACCAGGCGGAACTGACTCACAACATAAACTGGTTAGAGCTCAGGGTGGTCCGCCGGGCCCTCCGTCAATTTCATCACCTTGTCAGGGGCAGCCACATCTTAGTCCTCACAGACAACATCACAACTAAGGCTCATATAAACAGACAGTGGGGGACCAGATCGAAGGCCCTTACGAAGGAGGCCAAATGACTGGGGCAGTAGGCCGAAAGGAACCTTCTGTCATTGACTGTGGAACATATAGCAGGGGTGGACAACATCAGAGCCGATTGGCTCAGCCGGACCAAGGTGGACAATTCAGAGTGGAGGCTGCAGCCGGCAATATTCGAGGAGGTGGCAAGGCACTTCCGATGCCCGGAGGTCGACCTATTCGCCACCCCTCTCAACACCCAGCTCCCGAGGTTTTATTTCAGGTATCAGACATGGGGGGCAGAGGGGGTGGATGCTCTCTGATGCCCATGGCCCCAGTGACTCCTCTATGCCTATTCAGCATTACTCCTGATTCCCAAGGTCATACAGAAAATCCTGCGGGAGGGGGCAGAGGTGGTGATGATTGCCCCACACTGGCCCCAGAGACAATGCACTGGAGACAAATTCCTTGTGTGTCTAATCACACTTGGCCAATAAGGAATTCTATTCTGTTCTGTTTTGGGAAACAAATCTTTACTAAAAATGCTGTTAAGTTGTTAGGTATGCAACTTTCACAGAAAACAAAATGTCTTCATCAAGATTTATTAAGAGAAGATACATAAGGAATTTTAACAACTGGGTTTCCAATACTTGATAAATGGTATAGAAATTGAACAGTGATCATTTTATGCTCATAAATCTGATAAGAATATCATGATAAAACGTACTAAATATTTCTATGTATTTATTAACCCGTTTTTTTCTTTGTCTAGCTGATTGTAATGCCATTTTTAAAAGTCTACAATCCATCTTCCAAAAGGAGGGAATGACAGAAACTATTCATAACTGGGAAAATCATGGTTACCTAGCAACATACGTCAATAAAAATGGCTGGTAAGCTGAATTCTAATATACATGATTTTTGAAATATGTTATAATTATCAATTATTTAACAGTTTGGCAAGGTTTCCTTTAAGAAGCTAAGTGAAGAGTATGCTTAATTTTTATATTTAAAAATTTTTTAAGAGTCAATTTCTAATTAACTCTGTTATGAAAAATAGAGAAAATTGCATCTATATTAGTAAAATTAACACATACTGCTGAAGCTTATTGTTAGCCAAGCTCTAATTTCTTGATGTTCTAAGTCTTAATGAAACTAATGGATGAAAATAATTATTTTTTGGAGAAGGGTAGAATGTTACATATACTTTATTACCAAACTGAGGGTTATCGGCCTAGAGACTATTTTGGTAAGTAGCTAATTTAGTTGATAGATTTTTTATGGTTTCATCATATATCTCTAGGAAGAGACAATAAAATCAAAGGAAGCCCCTTATTCATAACAATCAACTAATCCTCTATTTTATCACAAATTATCAACCTTCTCACAGGTGAGTAGCATAATGGAGAATGTTATCAAATTAATTCAACAAAAGCAACAAAATTTGAAATTTGGGTAAACAACATTTTATTTATGCTGAAATGGCAACAAAGCTTGACAAAAGATCTTTTTCAATTACTTTTTGATATTGTACAGGGAGGTATTCTGATTTTTGGAGATCTGATTTTTTTCCCCTCCAGATGTAAACAAATCTGTATCTAAAAGGAATTCTGGCAGGCTTCAAAAATGTCTTATCTCTCTATGTAAAAGCGAAAACCACTCACACCACGAAATCTCCAGAACCGTAAAGCCTAGAAAGTTGAAATGTGGCATGTATGTTCCTCTTGGCTTCTAGGTGCTCACTTAGAAAGGATTTTTTGAAATGACCCTCAGAGCATTAGTATTTCTTATACAGTAATTAATGATGCTAAGGAGTTAGACGTTCTACTCCTCCCCCCCAACCTGAAAATAACTGTTCCAATTGCCACTTGGATATGGGCATGACCAGCACATGAGTCATCCAATGTGCTGGCTGAGAGTTGGGAGAGGAGCCTCAGGGGCAAGGCTGAGGGAGATAAGAAGATAGGATAGGATAGAGGAGGCTTCTGTGGGGCAAGGCTGAGGGGGAGAAGGGGATAAGGTAGGATAGGGGAGGATTCTGTGGGGCAAGCCGGAGGGAGATAAGGGGATAGGATAGCTGGGAAGATTCTGTGGGGAAGGCTGAGGGAGGGAAGAGGATAATATAGGGAAGGTTTCTGTGGGGCAAGCCTGAGAGAGAAAGGGGATAGGATAGGAGAAGCCTCTGGGGCAAGACTGAGGGAGAGAAGGGAATAGGATAGGGGAGGATTCTGTGGGGCAATGCTGAGGGAGAAAAGGGATAGGATAGGAGAGATTTCTGGGGCAAGGATGAGGGAGAGAAGGGGATAGGATAGGGGAGGCTTCTGTGGGGCAAGCCTGAGGGAAAGAAAGGGAAAGGAGTGGGTTAACCATTTTTTGATTATAGCAATATATCATATTTTTCGGACCATAAGACGTATCTAACTTTTGGGGAAGAAAACAAGAAAAAAAATCTGCCTCTGCCTTTTACTCGCAGCAATTTGCCTCCTTGCAGCAAACAGCCTGGTTAGCTTCAGCATTGCTTGATTTAGCACAAGCAGCTGATTGGCGGTTGTCTCTGCCTCCCGGAGTACCACTATCGGTTGTTCCAGGTTGCAGGGATTGACAGCGCCCATCGCCGTCGCCTCTACCACCCAATTTTCAGCCTGTGTGCATCCGATTTTTTGCCTCTGCGTTCCCCATTTTTTGCCTTTGAATGTCTCATTTTTGCCCCATTCCAAGGGGTGGGGATTGCCACTGCGGCCTATCCCTGACTGGAATGGACCAAAAATGGGATGCACGGAGGCCGAAAATGGGGCACATGGAGAAGGTGATAGGTGGCAGCGATGGTGGCAATGGGAGGTGCTGATCCATGCAGCCTGGAAAAGCTGATAGGCTGTATTCCGGGAGGCAGATCCAACTGCCAATCAGCTCCTCGTGCTAAATCAGGGTGTGCTGAAGCTGACCAGGCTGTTTGCTGCAAGGAGGCAAATTGCTGGGAGACAGGCCTAAGGGTGAGGGCTGGCGGGTAGGCAGGGCTTCGGCAACATTCGCTCTATAAGACGCACAGACATTTACATCTCCTTTTTTGGGGGGGAGATAGCGTCTTATACAACAAAAAATATGATGTGTTGGTTTGTATCATATCCAAATTTTATATTACACAACATGTTACATTTAACATGAAATTAAATTGTACAGTTTTTATTTTTTATGATTGTAAGCCACCCAGATTTACCTAAGGTAAGATGGGTGGTCAATAAATTTCATAAATAAATAAAGTCTGAAATTGCAATTCTTTTTTTATGAATTATATTGCATTGATTTTTGTTGTTGATTGCCCAGATTTTAACAATTTAAAACAATATATGTAGTCCTCAACTTACAACAGTTCATTTAGTGACCAAAGTTACAATGACACTGAAAAAAGCAACATGACCATTTTTCATATAACCTTTGTAGTATTCCCATGGTCATGTGATCAAAATTCAGATGCTTATCAACAGGTTTATATTTATGACCATTGTCTCCCAAGGTCATGTGATCACCTTTTATGACCCTCTGAGAAGAGATGCCAGATTCCCTTAACAACTGTGTTACTAACTTATCCACTGCAGTGATTCACTTAACAACTGTGGAAAGAAAATTCGTAAAAAAACCCAAAACTGTCTCACTTAACAACAGAAAGATTGGGCTCAATGGTCATACGTCGAGGGCTACCTGCATTTGGATATTTAAAGCTTAACAAAATGCAAATTTTGTGAAAAAATTGTAATGTTTTAAATCCTTGCATTTTTAATTTGATAAATTAATTTAATTGATAAATAAAGGCACATATATTTATATAATTAAAATGATTTTAATTAAGGTTATAAAGAAATAAATTATAGAGAGTACAAGGAGACTAACAACAGTCAGTCGCAATTTGTTTTTGTTTAGTATACTGTATATACTCGAGTATAAGCCTAGTTTTTCAGCNCATATGGCCCACCTTTGTTCAGTTTTGGTGAGTTTCTTAGAGGTGTATGCACATGGATGTAGCAACCCCCAGGCATTCTTTTGCAATAACATTGCCCCACGGCTATATTGTTTGCGTCAGCCTGAATTACAAACAGAGCATCTGGGTCAGGGTTCTTCACAGCACAGGTTCTGCTGCAAAAAGTTGTTTGAGTTCTTCAAATGGCATTCCATAATCTCCTTAGGTGGCTGACCTGGCTTCAGCTTCCCCTCACTCTTAGTTTTTAAAAGGTTGGTGATTGGCAATGTGATCTTTGCAAATGAGGAAACGAACTGCTGATAGAAATTGGTGAAATCAGGAAGTTTTGCATTTGCTTCCTAGTGCGGGTAGGGGCCAATTCAACACTGCCTTTACCTTTTCTAGGTCCATTTCCACTCCTTCAGTTGAGATATGGTAATCCAGGTAATCAATATTATCTTGATGAAATTCACACTTGGAAAGTTTTGCATACAGTTCAGTGGCTCGGAGCCTTTTAAGGACTGCCCACACCTATCTCACATGTTCCTCCATAGTCCTCCATTAAAATGTTGCCAAGTATACCAACACTCTGTTGTACAAAAAGTCATGCACCTCATCGATCAGTTGCATGAACACCACGGGGGCCTCCTGTAGGCAGAAAGGGAGCACCTGAAATTGGAAACATCCCTGATGGCTATTAAACACAGTTTCCACTCATCACCCTCCTTTATTCGAACCTTGTAGTACAAATTCCCACAAATCTAACTTAGTGAAGATTTTTCCTTTGGCTAAATGCCCCAACATGTCCTTCATCAGGGGCAGTAGGTAGACATTTTCTACACACATTGTGTTTAGCCTCCTATTATCAGTGCATAGACGAAGAGTCCCATCTTTCTTCTCCCAGAACAAGATTGGGGCTTCCATTCGTGGCCTTACTGGTTGGATAAATTTACTTTTTATGTTCTTATCTATGAAGGTGAGAAGCTCTCCTAGCTTGCGTGGAGTCATCGAGTAAAGTTTAGGCTTGGAGAGTTTAGCCCTGGGAAGGATTTCAATACTGCAGTCTGGGGGGTGAAGGAGCGGGAGTGCATCAGAGCCTTTCTCACTAAATAAATATTGCAAGTTCCAGTACTTCTTCAGGATTCTGGATTTGTTTATTGAGTGATCCCGAGCTACTACCCCCAGCTCCCTTTGTCCTTTGTTTCTGTCGCCCCCACATTTTGGGATCTTTTTTTTTCTTCCTTGGCCACTTTCTGCCAAATCTTTAAAAGTTCTCTCCTCCAATTCACATTATGATTCCATTTCTGCAGCTAAGACAGTCCAAGTAGAAGGGGCCTCTCCATCCCTGGTACCACTATGAAACTCAGAGTCTCTTTATGCTTTCCCATTCTCATCTCTACTGGTTCAGTTATAAAGTGAGCTTGCCTCCTTCCAGCTACAGTCCCATCTATCTGGCAAAATTCTATGGGCACCCTCAGCCATTTGAGCCTCAGTCCCAGCTTTTCATCGACTTCAGGGCTAACAACACATCTAGTGCAGCCCGAGTCCAATAAAGCCAGCATTCTCCTTTGGGTTCCTGAGGAGCACACCACTAATTTCACTGGGAGGATTACAGGGGTCACCCACTGACTTACCAGGGAATCATTGTTGTCATTGCTTCAGTCTCACCTGAGCTGGTTGGCGTTGCCAACTCCTCAGAGCCAGGAGGGGCAAACTCTATGACTTTCAGACCTTTTAGAACTGTCTCTCAGGTCCTCGGAGCTGGTTTCGTTGCTTCCTCCCTCAAGTTATCATGGCACTGAGGTTGCAATTGCTAGATTGGCATGCTGCAGCTTGGTGGCCTTCCTCCCCATATCTGAAGCACATTGTGGTCCAGGAGTATGTTTTATGTGTGGGAAGGAAGGACTCCTCACATCTGCTGGCCTCGCAGCATCAGTCCTG